GTGCCCCCTCCTAAATTCATGTTGAGACTTAATCACCCATGGGATGATGTGGGAGATGATCAGGTCATGCAGGCTCCACCCACAAGAACGGAATCACTGCCTTTGCTGAAGGGCTTGAGAGGAGCTGATCACCTCTCTCCCACCTTCTGCCTTGTCAGGACTCAATAATAAGTGTACTGGCCAGGGATTTGGCTTAGTGGTTCTGCCGCTTGCCTCACAAGCACAAAGACCCGAGTTCGATCCCTGGTACCAAAAAAAAAAAAACCACACTCAATAAGAAGTGTACTTAAGAAGCACAGCGGAGCCTTCAGCAAACAAAGAGTATGGCGACACCTTGAACTTGGACGTCCCAGTCTCCAGAACTGGAAGAAATACATTTCTGTTGTTTCTAAATTACCTAGTTTAAGGTATTCTGCTACAGCAGCCCACACAAAGACAAAAACCAATAGAGATCAAAGCAGCTAAATATGTGCAGTGGGCCCTGGGTTCAATCCCAGTACTGCAAAACAACCAAAATCAAAACAAAACACCGTTAAGGGTATGGAAGTTTTGAAGAACAATGTCAACTAATTTGGTCTAATGGACATGGATAAAATAATACTCTCAATATTGCAGATACAAAGTCCTTATCAGATTTTGTGTCTTGAATAGAATTTTAGTAACTTTTAAAAGACTAGTATTTCACAAAATATACCTCTAGTCACAATAGGATTAGACTAAAAACAACAATGAAAAGGTTATCAGAACATCCCAAAGTGTTTTAAAATGAAGCAACATACTTTAAAATAACCTACACTTCAAAGGAGAACTCACACTAGAAATTATTTTGAATAACTTAAAAATAAAATATGATATCTCAACATATACGTTCCTAAACAGCTTCGCATGTATGTGAAAAATGTCAAAACCATCTCAAATTCTAACTGAAGAAACTAGAAAGGGTAAATTAAAGTCAATGAAAATGAGAACAATTATAAAAAGATAAGTGCAGAAATAAATGAAAGTGAAAGGAGACAGTATAGAGAAAAGTTGGTTCTTATGAGTGATTAATATCCCTAGCAAGACAAATTAAGAGAACACACACACACACACACACAAAACACAAGATTGCCAATATCACGAATGGAAAGAGTACATTCAAATAAATTATATAGCCATTAAAAAGATGAGAAAAAATATGGTCAACAGCTGTGTACCAATCAATAAACAACTTGATGTAAATTGAGAAATTCCTGGCAAAATACAACTTACAAAAAGGGAGAAAATATAAATTATTCTATATTTGTTAAATAAATGGAATATATAACTTAAAATCCTTCCCACCAAGAAAACACTACACTCATGACTTCTCTGGTTAATTTTCCACAAATTTAAAGAAGAAATAACATCAGTGTTACAAGAAAAAAATCTAAAGACTAGAGAAAGAGGACATGCTTCACAATTCATTTTTAGGCCACATAATTTCAAACCTAAATTGGACAAAGATATTAGGAAAAGAGAAAATTACACTCCAATATGCCTTATGAACATTGACGCAAAAGTTCATACAAAATGTTAGTAAATGAAATCCAGCAATATATGAAAGGATAATATATCATGACCAAGGAAAGTTTGCTGCAGGAATGCAAAATTGATTTAACACTGAAAAACAAATCAATATAATACACCACATTAACAGAATAAGGGAGAAAAACTGTATTGTCATCTCAATAGATTAATAAAAAGCATTTGATAAAAGACACATCCAATTAGAATAAAAATTCTCAGCAAATCTGACAACCTAGAATATTCCATATAGTGGAAATTGGAACACTGTCTTGGTCGAAGTGGGAAATAATGCAAGGATGTCCACTCTTCTCACCTGCATTCAGTTAATGTATTAAAGATCCTACCCGTATAAGAAGCAAAGAAACAGTAATAGAATATATGAAGATTAGAAAAAAATACAGTTGCTGTTATTTACAGGTGATATGATTGTATACACAGGAAAATCCAAAGAATCCATGCCATAGCTTCGATCTGCCCCCATGTGTTGAAGAGTTGGTCCCTAGGTTGGCACTACTGGGAGATGGTAGGACCTTCAAGAGGTGGGGGCCACTGGGAGGTCCTTTTGGTCATTGAGGAAAGGCCCTCAGAGAGAACTGTGGGACACAAGTTTCTTCTCCCTATTGCCTAGCTATGAGGTGAGCATTATTCCTATCACGATGTGCTACCTTTCCACTGATCTATAGATTGTTTGTTGGAAATATCCAAGCTGATTGTAAAATGAAATAGAAATCTAGTGAACCTAAAATAGTAAAAATAATTCTGGAGAAGAAAAAGGTAGAGAATTTCTTACGCTACCAAATTTTAGGAGCTTGTCTCAAGTCACTTTCTCGTTGCTGGGACACAATACTCAGCACCCACAACTTAAAGGAGGAGAGGTTTATTTTGGCTCACATTTTATAAGTTTCAGTCCATTTTCAGCAGGAAAATATAGAAACCAGAAGGTGGAAAGGCCTGAGCACAGGAAAGCTGCTCGTCATGATAACAAGGAAAGGAAGATGCTCACTTCCGGGCCACGCCCCTAGCTGCCTGCCTTTTCCCACCAGATACCACCTCCTAAAAGCAAGTCAGGTGTACTGTAGTGCCTCCATGGTCTGTCACCTTCCAAAAGCCCCACTTTTCAACATACGAGACTCTTGGGAAACATTTGGATATAAACCATAACAGAGCTACATTAATTAACATGGTGTGATACTGGTAAAAGACTAATTTATAGGCCAAGCAAACAGAAAAAGGGTATCAGAACTAGGCTTATAGAGTTACTCTATTAGTAAAAGAGACATGATTGCAATTTTGTGGGGAAAATATAGTATGTTTTTTCCTAATATACAGTTTTGGAGCAATTGTGAGTCACACGGAGGAAAAAATGACTCTCAACCTCAGCTTACACCATATATGGAAAATAATTCATCATATATCACAGACTTAAATGTGCAAAGAAAACATGCTAGGATATCGTTATGATCTTAAAGTAGCAAAGGTTTCTTACAGGACACACAAACATTAAGCATTAAAGAAACCACATACTAGAAGGAGATAGTCATAATATGTCCATGTATATCTGATAAAAGACATATTTTTTCCATTGAAAAAATAAACAAAAGTCTTGAACAGGAACCTCAACAAAAGAAGCTATTCAAAAGGCCACTAGCCATATAAAAATATATGTATTGGGGAAACACAAAATGCACCATAAGGATGGCTAAAGTTAAAAGAGTAATAATATAAAATAAAATGTTGGCTCAGATAAGGAGTGTCTGGAATTCTATCCATTTGGTGGGCTTGTGCATTGGTAGAGTACAGTGGCAGACTGTCATTACTTACTAAGCTAATATGTCCAGAAGCCTTACCCCTAAATGTGCACTCAGAAGAAGTAAATGTCTATTTTTACCCAAAGGCACATACAAGAATGTTCATGCCCCGACTTGGAGACGATCCAAATGTCTATTAAGTGAAGAGTAGATAAACCATGGCATTTTCCTATAATGGAACACTACACAGAAATTGAAGAACAGAAAGTTATGTTCAGCGGAAGAAGCTAGCAAAAAGGAGTATGTGTTTTATGATACCTTTCATTTGAAATTCAAGAACAGGCAAATTTAATTGTTAGTGTTTGAAGTTAGAATAGTAGTTACCTGTCCATGAGGGACTGACTGGGTATGGTTATGAGAAAATCTTCTGGAATATTTGAAATATGCAATACAAATTTATCAAGCAGTACATTAAAGATCAGTGTTGTTTATGTCTTTAATCGACACACACCTCAATATAAATATAACAAATTAGACAAAGATGATATTTTAAAAAGTTTGTATTAGTCCATTTTCTGCTGCTATAACAAAACATTTGAGGGTGAATATTTTATAAATAAAAAGGTCAATTTATCTCACAGTTTTGGAAGCCAAAAGCTCAAGATTGGGCTGCCTCATCTGCTTGGCCTCCGGTAAGGGCCCCACAAGAGATAATACACAGTGGTGAGGGTGCCGGAGAGAGTAATTACATGGTAGACAGGAAGCCAGAGAGACTCAGGGCCAGACTTATTTGTTCTGCAACAAGTTGCTGTTTTAGGAACTAACTAGGGTGCTGCAAGAGCTGCATAAACCACTTCTGAGGGAGGGGCACCCATGACCTAATCACCTCCCCATAGCTCCTACATCTTAAAGGTTCCACCATTGCTCAATGCCACCATAGTGAGGTCCAGCACATGAACCATGGGGGACACATTCAACCACGTCCAAACCACAACAGAATCCCACCTTTCAATACTTTGAAGCAGGAGTCAGCAGATAGGTTCAGTAAAGAACCCAATAATAAATGTTTTAGGCTTGCAAACTGTATTCTCTGTCACGACTCCTCAACTCTACCATTGTAGAGGAAAAACAGCCATAAAGTACATATAAATGAATAAGCATAGCTGTATTCCAATAAGCTACTTACAAAAATAGGCGATCAGCCAAATTTGACCTAGAAGGCATAATCTGTCGACTCTGGCTTTAGCAAGAATACCATCCTATATTTAAATAAGTTATAAAATACAATTCTTTCTTCTGTAATTTGTGGTAATAGTAGTAAGGCTTCTTCTAGCCCAAATACAAAGTGATTGTTATTAAAGTACTGAAGGTAGATTGTGTGTTGGTTTTTGATTAAAAACAAAACAACATGCCAGTAACCAGATTAAAATAGTTATGCAATACAATTATTTGGTCAGGGAAGACTCTGAGACTTGGTCATTAAATGTGAGACCTAAAGAATAAATAGAAGCTGACTGGTTGTAGACTGGGAGGGAAAATGTGAGAGCCAGAGATCATACCACCCAGAGGGAAAAAAAATGTCAGAAAGGGGAAAGGAAAGCTTGGCTTGTGAAACTACTGTGGCAGAGTACAATGAGCACTAAAAATAAAAATGGAGTAATGGGGCCGGGGATTTAGCTCAGTGGTTCCACTGCCTGCCTCATAAGTGCAAGGTCCCGAGTTTGATCCCCGGTACAAAAGGAAAAAAAATGGAGTGATGTATAAAGCTCAGAGCACACAAGGCGGGGATGGGGTCACATTAAGGAGTGTGGGCTTCTTTTTCCTTAAATGTAATGAGAGGTCATGGACTTATTTTAAAATAGGTGAGTAGTATAACCTGCTTAGTATAAAACATCATTCCCGTCACTGTGTGAAGAATTTCTGGCAAGGGCAGTAAGATGGCAGGGAGCATCCTTAGGAGACTACTAGGGTCACCCAGTCTAACAATGATGGTGGTTTGGGAGAGAAGTGAATGGTTAGGAGATATATTTTGGGGTAAAATTCTTAGAATGCAGTAATGGGTTCTTTTAGGGTTGTAAGAGAGAGAGGTGTGAGAAGAATGAGAAGTACAGAATAATCATTTAGGAAAGTGATTAACTGAGTTTATTAGAAGTACACAATTAGGTTGCCAAGTGAAGTCTGTGTTGGAGATATTGACTTTTCAACTATACCAGTCAGCTCAGCTGTGTGTATTCTCCAGCTGGAGCAGATGGTTGGGTTCATGGAGGGCTGGAGTTTGGTATGTTTGGCAGAAGGGACAGAAAGAAACAAGGTAATTGCTATACTGTTTACAAAGGAGTTATAGGAAGGACAGTATGTGCCTAAATAAAGGGAGATGGAAAGCAAATGGGGCTGATGGGCATGGGGTTGTGCCTTGGAAGCCTTAACAAGATGGAAGATGGTGGATGTGCTTGAGTCACATAACTTTGAAAATGTCTGATTTTGTGATTTTCATAGGCTGCTGAGGTGGAGAGTTCAATGCACTAACAGCTTTGTATTTTCGGTGGGTCATTCAAGATGTGTTAATGTTGCCTCAGATGATGACAGGAGTTACGGCAGACTGGAAGACTGCCAACCAGGTGCTGAAAACTGAAACAAATGAAGAGAGGTGAGAGCTGATGACAGCAGTAAGGAGGAGGAAGGTGTGATTCAGCTGAATGGTATGAGACTTGAGGGACAGGGAATATTTACAGGAAGAAACAGATTACATCTCTGAAAGGAGGCTAAAAGTGACCTGACTACCAAACCTGAGGTGAGTGATGGGAGTAATAAGTAGGTTGGGCTGAAGGCTGACAGGATGAGGGATTTCTGGAGAGGATTGATGTCTGGCAGAGAATTTACTCCTGAAGGGCCTTAGGAAGAAGGTGGGTATTTAGTCTAACACTAAAGTCTCAAAGTTTTGCTTTTTTAAAAAAGATTTTAACAACAAATACAGTAACTTTTGGAAGCATTTTCTATTTGTAAAGCTGTGTTTTCATTTAAAAATTGGTAATAATTGTATGCAGCAAATTCATGAATACAGGGTTTCTGTTGGGGATGAGGAAGTTTTGGGACTGGACAGCGGTAATGACTGCCCAACATGGTGCATGCATTCAGTGGCATTGGATTGCATGCTGAAAAGTGGTTAAGAGGGTCCTTTAGTCTGTTTAACCTGCTCTAACAAAATACGTGGACTGGGTGGTCTATAAACAATAGACATTCATTTTTCACTGTGCTGAAGACTGGGAAGTCTGGAATGAAGGCACCAGCAGATTCGGGGTCTGGTGAGGACCCATTTCCTGCTTTGTAGATGGCGCCTCGTCATTGTGTCCTCACCTGAAGGAAGTATTAAGGGAACGGTCTAGGCTCTTATTTATTTATGTATTTATTTACTTAGCGCATATTAGTAATACAGAGTGATGCGTTTTCTTTTGGTATACTGGTACACGCGTATAACATACTTTGATTATTTTCACACCCCTCTCTGTACTCTTACCCCATTCCTCCCTCCTCCCAACTCTCTTTCTCTCTCCAACACAGTGTCTGTTTTATGAGGTCACTATTCCCATTCATGAGGGCTCCCCTCTTATGACTTAATTACTTTCCAAAGTCCCTACCTCCTCACTCATCACTTTGGTGATTTGGTTTCAAGATATGAAGGGGGGGATGAGAGGAGATCAACATTTAGACCCTAACAAATGGTAAATTTGAGTTTGGCACAATTTTAAAAAAATACAATGGAGCTGGGGCCGGGGATTTAGCTCAATGGTTCTGCCACCTGCCTCGCAAATGCAAGGACCCGAGTTCAATCCCCGGTACCAAAAAAAAAACCAAAAAACAAAACAGGTTAGCAAAGGTTGTAAAGCAGTAATTCACTGGTGGAATCTGCTCTCAGACATGTTTTGTCTGGCCTCAAACTGCTTTGGCCATCCACCTGTGTTAGAAAAAAAAGAAAGTAATTTCCAAGATATAAAAATCTCAGAATTTTGTATGAAAATGCCTTTTAAAATAAATAACCTGAAAATAGAGATAGACTACTAGGGAAGGGAGAAGTGGGGATGGGAAGGGAGGGGAGGGGAATAGGGGAAATGGGTATGATTAGAGCACTGGATAGGCATGTACAGAAATATCACAGTGAAACTCATTAATTTGTACAGTTAATATGAATTCATATTTATTTTTTAAAGGGAAAAGGGAAAAAATCCCTTTTAAAAAACTAGACATGCCAGATGTCGTGATGCATCCCTGCAATTCCATCATGCTGGGAGGCAGAAACAGGAGGATGGTAAATATGAACCAAACCTGGGCAACTTAGCCAGACCCTGTCTCAAAATAAAAGGGCTGGAGATGCAGCTCAGTGTGAAGGCCCTGGGTTCAATCCCCAGTATAAAACAAGTAAACAAACAAAGCCTGGACTACCTAGTAACTTTGGGCCCATATTTCTGCTTGAACTTGATCAGCTGGAGCCTAGGACAGTCACCCTTCTACAGAGCGGGTGCCTCCTGCCATTTCCCACTCTTCGGAGCCACCCTGCTGCTTTCCCTGTTGTTTGTCTTCTCAGAATTAGTCCATGGGTGAAATAATTGTGTAACCAGGTCTCTACAAAGATCAGAAAATGACCGACTCAATAGGGGCTTGCATTTCAAGAAAAGTGGGAGAAAACACATTTCTTAGTGGGTGTGAAGCTGCATATTTAATGTGTGAATAAAATGTCCCAAGAATACAGTCTGGCCCGCTGCAGTCATTTTCGTCACCTGCCCACCTCTTGAGGGCTTCCTTGATATATATAAACTGTTTATTATTTTGAATTTTAAATAATTTGTGTAAAATTGAAACCTAACCAAAATTGAAGCCCACAGAAAATCCCTAACTTTCATCAAGCTGAGAATACCCTGACTTTGAGCCTTTGGGATAACAATGTGGGGTATTAATTTATTGATTGATTAAATTATTATTCTCAGTATTTGTTCATGTACCAAACAAGGTACATTTTTTCTCTGTGTATGTGAAAGGGATCACGTAGATCTGTCTTATTCATGGGCACTTAAATGTACTGCTTGTGCCAAGTCCATCAGTAGAGATGGGAACATTAAATCATTGTGTGTCAACAGCACCGTGCAAAAGAAAAAGATTCTGGTACACAGAATGGGCACATCCTGTCACCAGAAAAGAGCGCTGGCTTCTAAAGTGAAAAGAGAGTAAACACAAGCTATTTTGGCACTGATTAATTCTCACTGAAAATATCCAATACTTGTAAACTCCAAGAACTAAAATGTAGCTCTTTACCTGTTGGCTGAACTTGCCTTTGGCTATCTTCACTTAGTAATAAAAGCACATTGAATTACCATACCACTGAATGAGAGTCACAAACAACACTTACATGAAAATATCTAATTTCTAGTTATAAATCACAGATGGTTCAGGATTTGTTGACCACAGTGCCCTGCTGCTGCCCTGAGACATCAAGAAATACACCCATGAGCCAGGCCAAATCATATATAAGCATAGAGGGTACATTTGTTTTCTAAGGCTGCTTAACAAAATACCACAAACTGGGTGGCTTTAAACAACAGAGATCTATCCTTTTATAGTCCTGGACATTAAAACATCTGAAAGCCTTTATTTATACTTTAGGTTTCTCATATAAGAGAAACCATGCAAAATTTAATCTCATGTGTCTGATTTATATAACTTAACATTATGGTCTCAAAGTGCATCCATTTTCCTAAAAATGACTCAAATTTATCTTTATTTCAGAGTAGTATTCCATTCTGTGTAAATACCACATTTTCTTTATCCATTTGTCTGCCAATGCACATATAGGCTGCTTCCAAGATTTAGCTATTACGAATCAAGCCGCTATAAACATAGGCGTGCATAGTTCACTGTAATATGATATTTTTAACTCTTTGGGGAAGATACCTAGAAGGGGAATACCTGGTCAAATAGAATTTCTAGTTTCAGTTTTTTTGAGGCGTCTCCATGCTGATTTCCACAGTGGTTGTACTAGTTTGTATTGGCACCAACAGTAGACAAGTGTTCCTTTTTCCCTGCAACCTTGCCGGCACTTTTTATGTATTTGATTTGTTTTCATTAGCATATATTTGTAGTACATAATGTTTTACATTCCATGTGTGGAGTTGATACATATACATAACACATCTTAATTCCTCTTTTCATCCTCTTTCCCTCCTCTCCTTTCCTCTTCCTCCACCTCTTCATCCCCTTTGAGAAGGATCTATCTCCCTACTTCCCATTACCATAGAAGAATTACAAATGGCCAATAAATACATGAAGAAATGCTCAACATCTCTGGCCATGAGACAATGCAAATTAAAACAACACTGAGATTCCTTCTTATCCCAGAAAGAATGGCCGTCTTCTAGAAATCAAATAATAACAATGCTGATGAGGCTGCATTCCTCAGTAGACTGTAAACTCCATAAGGACAGGAACAGTGTTACAGTGTTTTTGCCTTCTCTTTTGGTTTCTTTTTCTTTTCTTCTACCCCCCTAGATTCTAACTCAACATAGAATACTGAGTAGAAACTCAATGAACATTTTTTTTTTCCGTACTGGGAATTAAATTCAGGACCTTGCACTTCCTTGGCAGGTGCGGTGCCACTGAGCTACATCCCCAGCCTCAATAAACATTTGTGAAATAAATGGTTGTTTAATGGGTCATTCCTATCTTGTCCATCTTGGCTTATGTCTGGAAGGCCAGACTCTCTGATTCTTTAAAAACATTCTGTGATAGCTAGTGAACATATTTGCAATTTGACCTGTTTACTCTTATGTTCTAATTTAAGGATTTTTTTCCCTATAAATGATGACCAGTGATCTCATTAGGGGATATGAGTTCATTGGACAGTGGTGAGTCAGATATAGGATTAATTTTCTTTAAACCATAATAGGTAATCATTCTTGTTATTTGGCATTAAAAGGAGTACGAATAAGATTGTACCTCCAAATTCTTTTGAATTAGGAACTTTGCTTAAACCTTTATATTTTTTAAGTTGGTGCATAAAAATTATATATATCCGCTGAGGATTTAGCTCAGTGGTTCTGCCGCCTGCCCCGGAAGCTCAAGGATCTGAGTTCGATCACCAGTACTGAAAAAAAAATTACATATATTCATGGTGTAAAACATGATGTTTTGATATATGTACACACTGTGAAGTGATTAAATCAAACTAATTCACATATCTATCATGTCACGTATTTATCATTTTTTTGTGGTGAGAACATGTAATCTACTCTCTTGGCAATTTTCAAGTGCACAATACATTATCTAACTATTTCCACGTGCTGTACAATAGATCTCCTGAAGATTCCATCTAACCAAATTTTATATCTTTTGACAAACATCTTCACATTCTGCATCTTTGCCAAGACCAATATCAAAGAGCTTTTCTTCTGTGTTTTCTTTGAATTGTTTTATAGTTTCAGATGCTTATGTTTAAGTCTTTAATTCACTTTAAGGTAGTTTTTATATATGGGATGAGGTAGTGATCCAACTTTATTCTTCTATATTTGAATATCCAGTGTCCTAAGAACATTTTTTGAAGACTCTGTTCTTACATCATGTGTTCTTGCCACCCTTGTAGATTACTAGATTTATTTTTGGGCTCTGTATTCTGTCTTGCTGTTTGATATGTCTGATTTTATGCCTGTGTTATGTTGTTTGCTTTGTCACATTGTTGTAGTGTCAAATTATGTGACACATAATGTGTTGTGTCATATTACACTTTGCAGTATATCGTGAGCTTGGGAGCATGATACCTTCATCTTTGTTCTTTTCCCCCAAGATTGCTTTGGCTATTTGGAGTTTTTGTGGTCTCATATGAATTTTTGAATTTGTTTCTACTTCTGCAAAATAGACCATTGAAATTTTGATAGAGATTTCATTTAATGTGTAGATAGCTTTGGGTAGTATGAACACTTGAACAACATTAATTCTCCCAATGTATGAACAGAGGGTGTATTTCCATTTATGAGTATCTTTTTTATCAATGTTTTATAGTTCTATAGTTTTATAGTTCTGAATGTACAGATCTTTCCTGAAGTCTTCTTTCATAGTTTTCAATGTAAAAAATATTTCGCTAAATCTTCTACTTTAGTGTACTTTATTTTATGTTCTTGTAAATGGGATTATTTTCTTGAGTTCTCTTTTGGATAGTTCATTGTTCACTTATTCTTTCATATCAGTTCGTTAATGTCTATTATCACTTGAATTCTGTTAATTGAACTTCTGTTAAGATAGCCATGTTTCTATTTTAGAAGAAAAAGGCTACCATGATAATTTCTACCCAATTTTACAAAATTCAGATATCTCTTTAACCATGTCTCTGATTTAAAAGCTTTCTTCTCACACTTAAAACTATTGTAAAATTGTATTACTTATTTAAGTACTTTGATGGAAATAGGTAGCCTGGACTCAATCTTATTTTATTTGTAATAAATGATTTCAGCTACAAACCATGTATTAGTCTGCTTTTTGTTGCTATTGTGAAATACCTAAAGACACATACATCTTTAAATATATATATGTAATATATCTATATCTATATCTATATCTATCTATATTTATAGCTCTAGTAAGGTCCCCTCTCTGTCTGCATCCTTTAATGGCAGATGGCATCACACAATGGTGGTGGTGGAGTGAAACAGGATGCCAAAGAATGACTGGGCACAGCTAAGCTTGCTCTTTCACTACTACCCTTTCATGAGAACTAACTCAGGGGTTCCATGAGAACATCATCCCTTTCAAGGGCAATGCACCCAGTAACCTAAGGACTCCCCACTAGGTGCCACCATTTGAATGTTCCACTACCTCTGCACATCGCCACAGTGAAGACCAAACTTCCAATACATGAGCCATTGGGGAACACACTCAAACCACAAACAAGTACTTTATTTTTCTTTCTCTTTTTCTTATTAGTGTGAGGTTGTTGTTAAAAGCACAAGGTTTAGAATGAGACATACAGGTTGGAGGCCGGATTCTACGATTAAGTTATGTGAGCACAAGCTACTTTACCCCTCCCATGCTTTAGTTTCATCTGTTAAAAACCATAAAGTGGTATCTGTGTCTTAGACTTGCCAGGAAGATAGAAGACAATATATATAAAAAGATTGGCACATGATAAGCACTCAATAAATAATATACTTATCATCATCATTGCTGTTACACTATTTGCTAATTGGAAAATAAACCCTCTGTGTCCCTTCTTCCTTTGCTACCTTCTGTCTGCCATGAACTGTTGCCCCTCTGCCATGCACCACCCTGCCTTGGAACCAGCCAATTATGGACTGAAACCTCAACAAATTGCATCACAGACCTGTGGCTGGGGTGACTTGATCCTGGAGAACCCTTCCATCATAATGCTTAGGAGTTCACTTCTTTAAAGGTTCATACGCTTCAGCAACAAGTAACAGATGCTTGGATGGTACTTACAAAATACCAACATTGAAGATTTGGGCTTGAAGGACCTGGTAACTCATGTCCTGGGTGGAGGGGGTGGATTGAGTGATTGCCTGCAGCCTCTGCTGACAGACAGATGCTCTGTTGGCCTCTGGGAGCACTCTCTTGCTGCAGCAAACCTTTCCCTGTTGGGTCTGATCTCATCAACAAATCTCAGGATAATTAAAATAAGAGTGGGTGCTGCCTCCATTCCTCAACTTGAACCTATACTACAAAGCCACTGTGATAAAAACAGCATGGTACTGGCAAAGAAACAGACCCGAGGATCAGTGGAATAGATTAGAAGTTCCAGAAACAACTCCAGACATACTCAGCCACCTCATCTTTGACAAAGAAGCCAAGCACCCTCACTGGAGGAAAGATAGCCTCTTTAATAAATGGTGCTGGAAAAACTGGGTTTCAAGTTGCCAAAGATTTAAACTAGATTGGGCCAGGGATTTAGCTCAGTGGTTCTGTGGCCTGCCTCGCAACCCCAAGGTTCTGAGTTCGATCCCTGGTACCAAAAAACAAAAACAAAAACCAAAAAACTATACCCCTATCTTTCACCATGCACTAAACTAAAATTAAAGTGGATTAAAGATCTAAATATTAAAACAGAAACACTAAATTTGCTGGGAGATAAGTTAGGTAGAACTTTTGAAGACATTGGCATAGCAAAAGATTTTATGAAGAAAACTTCAGTAGCATAGAAACTAGCACAAAGAATCAACAACCAGGATCTCATCTTATTAAAAAGCTCCTGCACTGCAAGAGAAACCACCAACAGAGCTAAAAGATGACCTACAAGTGGGAAAAAATTTTTATCAGCTGTTCCTCAGACAAAGGACTACTAACTAGAATAATAAAAAATCAGGACCCCCCCCCCAATATAAAGACCTAATTCAAAAATGGGCATCTGAAATAAGCAGATATTTCTCAGACAAAGAAGTAAAGGGAGTAAATAAACATGAAAAAATGTTCAACATCACTGGTCATTCAGGAAATGTAGATGAAAACAACACTGAGATTCCACCTCACCCCAGAAAGAATGGCTGCTATCAAGAAATCAACCAATTCGATCCCCAGTACCAAAAAAAAAAAAAAGAAAAGAAAAGAAATCAACCAATAACAAATGCTGGTGGGGTTGTGGGGAGAAAGGAACCCTTCTC